AGATCTAATATCTTTGACTAGAGCTCGTTTCTTGCAATTATCTCCTACCCAAATATAGGGGACCTATCTACATGAGAAAAGGTTTCCTACTTCAAAAAATGTTTTCATAATTACTTATTGTCTACCAACAACCTACCATCCACAGTTTAGCCGTCCACAGTCAGAACGATCACACACCACCATGTACATTATTTTCCCTAAGACAATACAAATCCACATTCCTTAACCACAAGTCAAATCCCCTACGTGTCCACAGACTTAACATCCATATACAACCATCCATAAGAAAGCAATTCACACACTATTTGTACTCAAACAGCGAAAATATGCGAAAAATCACCACAGTAGATAAAAACAAACTCCGTTTGTCCAGAATACAACCACAAGTTTATTACATAAAACAATTGCCCTCTGACAATACAAAAGAAAGCTCCTTCAAAAACAAGCCAAATCCCCTACATGTCCACGAACATATCTTCCACAACCGTTCATCCATAGGTACCCAAAATACAAGACAATATGGTACCATTACACAAAAAAGAAAATATCACCACAGCTGGCACATTCATATGGGGTTCGTACAGTTCGTCCTGTTATGGCTTGTACCCTTGCATCTCTCACACTTGTTTACTATGGCCTTCTTCTTTGGTGCCTGCAAAACATGTCCCAAACTTAGAATAGTATTACGATACAATCACTCAAATGGTTTCACAAACACAACTTACTGGAATCTCTCCAATTGACAAGAACCGTTTTGTCTTGCGCCGTTCGGCTGGCCTCTTTGTCACCGGTGGCATTAAAACCTTTTTTCTCACAACCTCAAGAATATCCTCATCCCTTGGGTCACCAATTGAACAGATCACCCCAGCATACGTCTCCTTCCAAGCATCAGTTTTGTACCAGTGTCCAACCAGAGTAGCGTAAGGTACATTCAAGTTGTCAGCAGCAAGCATGGCATGACCACAAGGTATCTTCATGTGGTCAAAGTATCTGCAGGAACATCTTTTCTGATCTAGAATGACACTTTTTATAGCCACCAAACTTCCCTACAACCTGACTGCTCCAACTTCTAATTGACTTGATTTGGCTGCCACTAACTAGCGCCATGCTCTTGGTCATCACTTTATCTACTTCAACAGTCATCAAACCATTGTGCCTCCCTGACTTCTTCCTACGAGCACTGAACCATCTTGTCATCATGTCTTGTATGAACATCAACAACTCAACAATGGGGGAAGACCTCCCCTCAACTAACGCATTGTTTAGTTGCTCAGCGATGTTACTTGTCATTATGTTATACCTCTCCCCTTTGAAGTATGTCCTCGACCAATGGGCTGTCCCAATATTTCCTAAATATATAGTGCAATCACTGCTGGCCGCCCTTATCTCGTCGCAGTACTTCTTGTAGTCTCGCATCCTATGTGCTGTCGCCGCTCCTGTCACCAACCTTGCAAGTCCCTTACTAGAATATCTAGCATTCACATTCCTTGCCAAATGCACAATACAGTAACCATGTCGCTCTATCATAATAAAATTCTTTCTACCTTCTGTAAAAACCACGTCCACGCGTCAGTATCCTTGCTGTCCACAACTGCAAATGCCAAGGGAAAAACCTGGAAATTTCCATCCTACCCACTAGCAGTCAGCAAGACACCTTTGTACTTACCGCTAAGGTGAGTGCCATCAACCACCAATACCAACCTCAGCTTCTTGAAACGTCTTATAGATGCACCAAACGAAAGAAATAGATACAAAAAACGCTCCACCCCCTCTTTGTCCAGCTCTGACTCTATATCAGCTATGGTCCCGGGATTTGCTAATTTTAGCATATACAAATACTCCGCGAGCTTCGTATAATCATCATCTGGCCCTCTCAAGTCCAAAATTGCTTGTTGTTTTGCTCTGTAACACTTCATGCAAGAAGCTGATATCCTAAGATCTTCTAGCACAAGCCTCTGCAAATCTCCAACTTTAGGCCCTTTTGCTGGTTCTTCGAATTTAGCCTTGTACACAACATCAATTACTCTGGCTGTTCCCCTTTGCATGTATCCATTCATACTCTCTATCGGACAAGAATGATCCAACTGAGCTTTCCTTATCTCATAGCAGCCAGTCCCTCTTATTTCATGAGCCGTCACCCTCCAATCACAGCTTGGATCAGGGCACTCGCACACGAAAGAATCAACCTTTGTCCTTGTTTGTTTGAATTGGATCTGACGCTTTATCGCATAAATGGCTAACAAGATTTGACAATCAACTTTGCTACCATAGACTTTTCCCACATGCACCACACCATCCGCTTCTTCCACGTCAAGCCCAGGTATCTCAGCAACCTCATACATGGTGTCGTCATATAAAGGGGGGGGGATGTCAAACTCTTCGTCATCTACGTCGCTAAGCTTCCTTTTATAAGTTTCGTGTCCACCACTTTCACGGCCACGACTATCGCATCCATGTATACCGGTTTTTCCCATCCATGACAGGTCGTCCATAGGATCTTCATCTTTGGTACCGTCTCCCTCACACGCGCCAGACCCACCTGGATCAACCTCATGATCAAATGCATTGTTCGTATAACAGCTGTAAGGCCTTCTTGCCTCTTCCTCCTTAAGCACACCGTTTGCATCTTTTTACCATTGAATACAACCTCAACTGCATTCGAACCTCCCAAATCGCCTGCAATCAGTGGTTCCCAGAACTGGTAGTCATATCCTCTTGGCCTAATATCCCTCTCATCAATCTCTTCTGGCCCACTATAATCCCTTTCAATCCCCACGCTGCAACCACCAAAATCACCTATGGGGTTACTCTCTGACCTCAATCTTTCTTCTATTTTCTCAACCTCATTCACCAATTCATCATCGTCGATACTAATGAAGCTGCTTTTGGACCCTATGCTTGAAACGTAGCTTCCTTTCCCTTTAAAATTGTTTTCACTCCGCAGCTTCTCCCCTATAGGTGTAACAAATTCTGCGCCCATACCACTGTCAGCCTGAAAATCCACACCCAGACTTTCAACTGTAGCAAACAAATTCATTGAGCCCTTAACCTTCATGTGTGAAAAAAATACTTCAAACCCCCATCGCTTGTTAGCAATACGGGGGGGGGGGGGATTAATTCCAGTCGCTAAATCCATGCTATCCGGTGGCCAATAAGACAGAGCAACACCATAGTCATCTCCAGCAATTCTGAACTCACCAACCACCCGTCGTTGGAGCTCTTTCATGGACATTCATTCCTTAACTGAAATCATCCTAGCCATCTTTTTCTTGTCCACGATGAACTCCCATTTATCATCAGAACCACAAACCCAGGCTCCACACATCACTAAACACATATCATCCATTTGCGTTTCAAACAAACATCATTACTGTCTATACATATAAGAAAATACGAAAATCAACACACGCCATTGATGCACTACCTTCGCCGTCAAGATTCCTCTAACAGAGACGAGGCTCAAGACAGTTTTTCGTTTTCTTCATTCGACCTCGACTCAAACATAAAATCAAGATCCCAGACAAATTTTTCTTCACCGCTTTTGAACATATCAACGCTATCAAGAGAGAAAGATTTCTTCTTAATTGCACCATATACCAAGGAAACTCGTACAAGGAGCCAACCCCCCCCCCAGCCGTTAGATGTTATGTCTTAAATCAGATCCAACGTCTCATAAATCTTCCCTCTCTCCCATATACCTATCTACAGTAGAACCTCTATAAATTAATACTCGATAAATTAATAATCTCTATAAATTAATAAATTGCACCGGTCCAAACTTGGGCCGGTGTAAAATATGACACAAATCGATAAAATAATAAGATAATAATATTTTTAAAATTGCCATGTAAATATATGGTCCCACTAAAATCATAAATTAATAATTTAGCTATATATAATTTTATATAAGTACAATCTAACATTATATTGTTGGTTTTATATTTACTATAAAAAGTACTTTTATTTTTTAAACATTTCAATACATTTTGATAATATTTAGTTAGGGGTTTTATATTTACTATAAAAATATTTTTATTTTTTTTAACATTTATTTTGATAATATTTAGTTAAATTATATTCAAACGTGTAACAATTCTATGAAAAATATACACCAAATAAGATAATAAAATAATATAAAATTCAAATTTCTAAAATTTAAATATTGTACATATGCTAAAATCAAATATATTTTTTATTTTATAAATAAAAATGGGAAAAAATAAAAAAAAAAATAAATAAGGAAACTTTCGTAAATTAATATCTCTATAAATTAATAAAATTTCAAAGTCCCAACATTATTAATTTATAGACGTTTTACTGTATTTTCCTTTACCTCTTTTTCATTTATTGTAACTAAACTCAATAATTAATTCTCCTAGTTACATTCTACAACGAGAAGCTGCTCCCTTAACTAGAACCGAAAACTCTCACCTCTTCTCAGGACTACTATCGTCCGCCAAAAAGACAGCTGGCTCTATAATGTGTGCCATTTACAATAAATGTCTTTTAGCGAGCAAAAAAGTCAGATTGTGCCTCTTAAGGTAACCATCTTTTGTCTGTACCTAGAGAAATGGTAGACTGCCTAGACTTGTAGCTTATATAACACTTGTGCTTTTAATGGAAGATGATTGATCTCTCAAGTACCCAAAAAGGGTCAAAGCTTTCAACAATGTCGATGAAACAAAGCTGGCCCAACTTTAACAATTTTTACAAGCAAGCAAAACATAGACAATCTAAAATAGTCCTCACAGCTACAGATGAAACAGAAGGAAACACTTTCTTTGGTCATCCACAAATTTTAATGATACAGGAGAGGCTTTTTTTTTTTTTTTTTGCATTTTAAACTCAAACCTTCAAAGGATTCAGCTGCCTTCCTGCACCTATGAATCCGGTTTTCACTTCAGCCTTCTCTGTGATTGAAGCTTGCAAACAATGATTCCGTGAAAACATTTGCAGCTTCACCAAGAAAATGGTTCATAACGCGTCTAGTGTGTATGTGCCTACGCATCTCTCATGCTGATGTTTAGGCTATTTCTCATTGTTCGTCTTCCAATACCCGCATTTCCCTTTTGCATCATCGCAACAAATTCTCCATAGTCAATCCGTCCATCCTGTAACAGAAAAAAAATCCATAAGTTTTATCAGCATGAAGAGACGAACATCAGTCAAAAACATGTCAAGAGGCAAAGCTTTACATTGTCTTGATCGACTTCTTTGATTACATCTTCAAGAAAAACATCAGTCATCCCATGTTCAACGCATGATTGTTGCAGCTCATCAATGGTGATGTAACCACTTCTGTCTTTATCGAAGTACTGAAACGCAGAGACAAGATGCTCTTCTCTGTCTAGTTTATTCAGATGGATCGTAGCTGCAATAAACTCACTGTAATCTATTGTACCGCTGTTATCCACATCAGCCTAAGATACAACAACACAACTACTGTCATTGTCTGTCGATATAGCGAAATGAAATAGTAGATATATATTCCCCAAATAGTATGCATTTTTACCGCTTCCATAAGATCTTGAATCTCAGTGTCTTTCAAAGTTGAGCCATATCTTCTCAACCCAGCTTTGAGTTCATCAAAAGTGATTGCACCGCTGTTATCAGTATCCATTGCCTCAAACATTGCCCTTAAACCTGCAATCTCTTCTTCTGAGAGGCTCTCAGCTATCACCTGATTAACCATAACCAGTACTATGAGTTAATCTCAAATGAATGTGGAAGATGAAGTTCAAAATTTGAAACTGACCTTTAAAACCATCTTCTTCAATTTATTCATTGCCGAAAACTGTTTGAGACGAGACAGAACAGCCGGGTCAAGTGCTCTATCTGGTGCAACTCCGTTCTCACAGATCCATGGATGACCTGAACAAAATATACAAACTCTTATGTTATGTGGTTGCCAAAATAAAGGTAACCACTTATTAAAGATACAATGAGCACGTACGCAAGACTTCATGAGCGGTCAAACGTTCCGAGGGTCTAGAGCATAACATCTTTCTGATCAGATCTTTGGCACTGTCGGAAATCACAGGCCATGGATCTGACTCAAAGTCGATATCTCCTTTCAAGACGGCATCAAATATTCCTTGTTGTGTTTCTGATTCCAAAAAAAAAAAAAAAAACAAACCAAACTTCAGAAAAATCTTAAATGAACGCATTTTAAGTGTCTATACTTTTCATACCTGCCCAAAAAGGAGGGACACCACTTAGTAAAATATAGAGAATAACACCAGCAGTCCACACATCAGCTTCTGGACCATAATGTTTTAAAAGAACCTCAGGGGATACATAGTATGGACTTCCAACAACATCCTTGAATATTTGGCCTGAAAATTGGAGTAACATATTGTTGGAGTTATCTTGAACGAAACTTGAGGAAGAAGTTATATAAATCCTAGTTGGATTATGATCTTGAAGGATAAGGATCATAATATGTTATGTTTATCAACTAGGAATATGATTTGTTTTAGTCGCTATATATAGCCTTTGTTTTAGGTTATTTTGATGTTGAGTTTATTGCGACTTGTGAACTAAGCTTAAGGAAGTTTCCAAGAGCTATTTGATTGATTGAATAAGAGAAGGACTTCTTGTTAAACTTTGTGTTTCAATACATATCACATTAAGCAAAACAAAAGGAACACTCCAGAGATCAAGAACATCCGCTTAATAAAAAACAAGATTCTTCATCTAAGATAACACATACTACACAATTCACAATCAAGCTCTACAGTTTTCCTAAGAAGCTTTGGCACTAAATTAAATAACACATTACCTGGTTTAAAGAAGATGGAGAGACCAAAATCAATGGCCTTAAGAGAGAAATCATCATCCTTATTAACCAACAAGAAATTCTCAGGCTTTAAGTCTCTATGCATGACACCAAGAGAATGACACGCCTCAACAACACCAACAATGATCTTGGTCAACTCAGCAGCTTTCCTCTCGCTGTAATGCCCTCTCTGAATAATCCTATCAAACAACTCACCACCAGCACAAACCTTCATCACAATATGAACATACAAAGGGTCCTCATAAGCTCCTTTTATCGTAACAATATTCTTGTGACCAGCTAAATGGTGCATTATCTGAATTTCCCGCCTAACATCCTCAACATCTTCCTTAGATATCAACTTCCTCTTGGATATAGACTTGCAAGCATAGTCAACACCCGTTGCAACCTCGGTGCAAAGATACGTGGTCCCGAATTGTCCTTGTCCTAACTTACGGCTCAAGGTGTAAAGATCACGGATGGTAGGAGTCTTGTGACCAAGAACATAGTATGCTTGGTTGGTACGCCGCATAATAGGTTCTTTTACAGAACTTTTGTTGCTGTCTTCTTTAGGGAAGTCTTGTTCTGCGGTCGGAGAACGAACGGAGGAAACGTGGGTGGTGATTTTGGAGTTCTCCTCCGGCCTAGTCTTATTATTGCCCTCGTAGGTTTTGACCATGAAAGAACCACGGCATGAATTGCCCATGAAACTTTATATTCGCAACTTTCGCTTTCTTCTTCTCCTCATCCAACGAATACCAAATCAAACCATAAGCAAACTTTCTGTAAGAAAAGCATCGAAATTTGAATGAAATCTGACAAACCCACATCAGATCAAGCATCCGAAATCATATAATGTTTGTGATTTAATCAACAAAAAAAAAGACAATAGCTCCAGAAAAGTCGTATCTTTCATTAAATTTTCATCGATCATGTTATAAAATAATCGACAAACAATATATAATAAAAAAACATTAAAAGAAACAGAGCATCTTCTAGAATAGCAGAGGAGACGATGAACTTGATTAGGATTTAAGATTAAGAAATCTGATTAATATCCTCTCTGTGAGACGAATAAGAAATGGGGCAAAAACTCTTGAAAAGATAAATATTCATCAATGCTTTTTTAAGTCAAATTACAAAGAAAAAAAGGTTTTTATTTAGTTCGTATATGTGTTGTTGTTTTCTGGTTGTGTAATAGGATGCGTTGAACGATCAATCAGCGTGTAAAAGTTTGTTGTGATCATGAAGGAGAGAGGACTGTGCAGAGGGCAAACAACTAAAGGTCTTAAACGCGGTTTCGTCTCACCTTCGTTTTCCCATTTGATAATTAGTTAGTCATCTCTTTTTACTGGTCCAATCATACCTGCAACTTAAAATTTGTAATGATTTATTTAGGATAACTTTTTTCAAAGAAAATGATTATAAACCAAACGTTATACTAACTTTTAAGTGCTAGGATGTGCTTATATGTAGGGTTTTGGAGCATCTTGGTTTTTATTACAATTGAGCCGATAATTATACAATAGACAATACAAAAGGACATAACAGCCCATATAAATAGGGAAAACAGGTTTCTCAATACCTGGATTAAATGGATCTCTTTTTTTAGTTAATTATAAAATTCTCATGAATGGTCAACCAAGAGGATTATTGTTCCTTAGAAAACTATGTCAAGGAGATCACTGTCTCATTTTATATTATATGAAAGTGTTCGTTAACCTTTTTTTTTGTCACTGGCTCGTTAACCTTCTTAATCATATAAAAAAAAAAAGATAATCGGGATACATGTTGCATGTGTTTATCTTAGGTGTTTCACTTATTATTTGATGATGATAACTTTTTTCTTCTGTAAAGCACAACTCTGTGAATTTGATGAAATAATGAAAATACTTAACGTTTATAGGAACGCATCATGCCAGTGTATAGATTTTGAGAAATCTTCACTCTCTTTTGAAAAGAGAGTTCCAAAAGATATAAAACAACAAATTAAAGATACACTAAGCATTGAAAATAAAATGAATATGGACACTTATCTTAGTATTCTAGATGACATAAGTGGGTCGAAATGTAAAATTTTTGCATTTCTCAAGGAGAAACTCGATCACATGATCAATGGATGGTTTGGTAGGTGGCTGACTAAGGGTGGAAAGAAAGTCCTCATTAAAGAAATAATATTGGAGTTGCCGACATATGTTATGTCCAGTTTTTTACTGCCTCTAGATATTTTTGAAAAATTAGCGAGTGCCATTGCACGCAGTTGGTGGAGTACAAATCTGCTTAATAGAGGAATGCACTGGACGATGTGAGAGAACTTATGTTGTCCAAAAGAGGAAGGGGAAAATTGGATTCCGTGTGATCCATGAGTTTAATCTAGCCCTTCTGGCTAAACAACTATGGCAATTGATACAATTCCTCGACGTGCGTGCAAGAGTTCTGAGAGGGAGGTACCATCATACATTTTGGATATTGGATTATGCATCTCCCTCGTATGTATAGACGAACTTGATGGAAGCAAGACCTTTACTATCACTGGATATTGAACAGAGTGTACATTCCGGACACAAAATTAATGTTTGGGAGGATCCATGGATTCCTGCGATACCGGCAATACTAGCTTACCAGTGGCACACCCACAAATGACTATTGCTAATTTCATACATGGCACACCAAAAGTGTGAAACGTGGAGATGCTAGAACAATTTATTGTTCAAGAGGATCACGCTCAAACAAATTTTGGCCATAAACCAATCCCATCAGGAAGATGGGTATAGCTGGAGCTAAGAAAGAGTGGTGTGTACATAGTAAAATCAGGATACTGGGTGGCAAGAAATATACTTATCATTATGAGGTAATGGTATCTGAACCCAGTATTAAAAAACTATAAGCACATGCATGAAAATCAAAGCTCCACAAGAAATGATACATTGATTTGGCAAATGTTATCGGGTTATCTAGTAGTAAAAAGAAACCTTACATATCGACATATGCAATGCGATAATCATTTTCCAAGATGTGGAGAAGAGGATGAATCTGTAAAGCATGCGATCTTTGAGTTTCTGATAGTGCTCAAATTACTCTAAGGAGCGACTTTACTCTCTCAAATAAGAGATCAGTTGTAGTACTTAGGGATCAAATCCTCAAGGAACTAGAGAACCAAATAAATATAATCAAGTAATAATGCTAAGTTGATATTTAAAGTAAAATTATAGTAATTAAGTAAACAGGAAATAGTAAGTAACCTAGTTGAGCAAGACAATTACTCCACTGAGTAGAATGAGGGTTGAACTAAATTGGAAAGGTGTTAGACTTAGGGCTTTTATTCAAGTGTTGGAGATTATAATCATATAGGTGCTAATTAGTTGTTTGCATGGTATTAAAGAGCTTAACCTCTAAATAACATATTCAGTAAACTCTCGCTTACTAGTTGAGCAAGACAATTACTCCACTGAATAGAATGAGGGTTTGGATTTAGAATCGATCGGTTGAATGTTGCACTTGTTGCTCTTCTATGAAGATATCTGAAGTTGGTGCTTCTCTTGCTTTGTCTCTCAAAGGGTGTAGGTGCTTGCATCTTGACTGATTCTGTGGTAGTAGACGTTCTCTTGGTTGCAAGACTTCATTATATCCATTTGTTTCCCTACTAGGATTTGGAAAATTTCCAAATTCCTTGAAGTCGGTGGCCTCCAAATCGAGCGATGTGCACATGTGCGTGTTGGTCGATTCGTGATGTCGGTCTGCTTGATGAGGAAGGATATCGATCGATGCAGATGGTCTCATGTCAATAGATTTTGTGTGCTTTGTTATGTGTATATGCTGCAGGAGTTTATCATCTGTAAGATTGGCATGGATCTCTCTAGCATACTCCTCGTCATAATCCTCATCATGCTCTTCCTTATGATCCCTTGAATCTGGTAGGATTGCAGTGTCTATTGCAAAACTCTCATAGAAACCACTGTCTTCCCAACTACCTATGGAATAGTCATCCTTCTTGGTGCTGGTGGCTTGAAAGGAAAATCTTGGATAGCAGTGATCAGGTGAGGTCCCATGCGTGGATTGTCTGTCGATTGATGTGCCTTGATGTACATCGTTCGCCAGCTGGTCGAGGGAATTGGTCAATGTGACTGAGTGTGTATCGATTGATTCTGAATACTCGATTTCCTATTCTGCTCCACAATGACATGCATCAATGAATCCAACATATTCAGTCTCTATAAGGTGTACCTGTTGTTTAACAACACGAACATGATAATAAAAAAATATTTGGATCTACCAATGTACGGCAAAACTTATTAGTTTTCATGTCACAAAATGCTCATACTGTGGCCATTAAAGCTCTTCCAAGTAACATGGAAGAATTTTAGTTCAACTTGATGTCCAAGACATGAATCTCTACAAGAATGAGGGCATTACCAATCTGCACCTCCAGGTCTCTGGTTATACCTTCTGATTTTCTCTCAGAACAATCCACAAAAGTGAATGATTCGTGGGAAAGTTCTATCTTGAGACCTAGATGGTGTGCCATGACCTTTGGTAGGATGTCAACTGATGCTCCTATATCACATAGTGCACGGGGGAATTCAATACTTTTTACTGAACATGGTATTGAAACTTCCCACGATCACTCTTCTTCTTCAGTGTGACCCTATGCTTCATCCTTTCCCTGACATGATGAAACATTTTCCTAATATCCTCCTCAGTGTCCCTGGTTTCTCTGAAAAACATCCAAAGTCTGTGGGTGAAGTAAACCTCCTCAAAAGATTTGTCCAGTGGGATCCTGAGGACTCTCTTAGTGAAACCATCCATTTCCTTCTCATTAGGTTCTCTCTTCAGATGTTTAGGAACTTTTTCCTTCCTTTTCCTCAGGGTTATTCTGGTAGTGGCCTTTTCAATGACCATATGCTCTGATGCAGGGTTGGAAGGGTTTGTTTATGGTGGCCGGAGTGCGTTGATTCGTGATTTATCTATTGGTGGCAAATGCACTCGGCATGTGAGAGGCTTGCGTCGATCGATTGTTACTGGTCTCAATCTTGGTGTCCAGTTCTTTGTAGATGGAATCAATATTCCCATTAAAGTCCACTGCTAGCCTTTGTTGTCCTTCAAGAACCTGATCAAGCATGGCTTCAATCTTCCCTCTTGAGTCTGTTGTGGTGAATTATGGTAGAATGAATTCCCATAACCCTTGTTTTTGTTGTAGCTGTTGTTGTAGGGTTTCTGATATTGTGAATTCTGGTTGAAGTTACTTTTCTGATCATTACCACTGAATTTTTTGTTTCCAAACTGATTTCCAGACCTCTGAAATCCAGTTTCTCCAATGTAATTCACATCTGTTACTAACTCTATGTCTATAGCTTCTGCATCTTTAGCTGAGCAGACATGTCTCATAAGCAGCTGGTTGACAATGTACAACTTAGCTTTCACTTCCTCCATCTATTCCTTCCCAAGAAATGCTACAATTTTTTTCCTTTCAGAGTCAGTGTTCTTGGTGCTACTGATGTTTTCTAGATTCTCAATAAGTTTCACAACCTCTTTTGGATTCATGGTGTTGAAGTTCCCATCTCTTACTGTATCAAGAGCCATCTAATACGTCAAAGTGATTCCTCTAAAGAAAGTGCTGAGTAGCTGCACCTCATTGAATCCATGGTGTGGACAGTCGCGCTGAAAGAACTTAAATCTGATCCAAGAGTCTTTGAAGGACTCTCCAGCTTTCTGTGCAAAGGTAGCAATCTTGCTCCTCAGTTCTTCAGCTCGTGCCTCATCAAAGAAGTTGTGCAGGAACACATTCTTGATGTCGGCCCAGGATGCAAGAGATCTTGGTGGTAACTGCTTGAGCCAATGCGCATCATCTCCAGCAAGTGAGTACCTGAAGAGCTTGCAAAGTAGGTAATCCTCAGGGATTTCCTTAACTCTAATAGCATAAATAAAATCCTCGAAGCTATCTAGATGGTCCATAGGATGCTCATGTGTCAACCCACAGTAGGGTATCTATGCCATGAGTGTGTAGTACTGGGGTTTCATCTTGAGTCGAGTGGCCTCATCAGTGTCAAGTTCAGGGATTACATTCCCCTGACAATATAGTTTCTGACCTTTTCTGTTACGCAGATGACCTTCGTGGTCATGCATGTATCCATTTTCATCTGGAGTAAGTATCAAAGTCGCAACCATGTCTCGTGGCTGAGTATCGATCGATGTACGATGTATATTATCGATCGA